ATACATATACATACATACATACGTGTACAACATCTAAATATACATGAACATTTATTTAAAAAACGCAAAAAATTCTAACTTATATAACTCTTTCCTTATATCCTGTGTGTACTTCCCTTCGGATTTCGTGTATGGAGCAAACTGATAGTAATTCGACCTGCGCAGGATACTTGAACCTTCTCGTTGGGCAGCAATAAAAAGAACAAATTAGGATATTCCATTCGATCCACGGAAGTTTCGGCAGTCCACTGGAGATGTACCGCAAGTACACTCCAATCTATCGATTCCGTAAAATCGTACAAGCATTACCTCTCGTACATCGCGAACTCATCGTTTGTTAATGAAGGTTTGTAGCTAGAAATCTCCATTATGTTAATGGACTACATCATGAACACTCGTTGGAATAGAATTCTGCTAAATAAATAGACGACAATGTAAGATTCATATGTGTAGGTATCTTTACATTGACTATGCTCATTTATGTGGAACCTGATGAAAAAGACGTCGCTCTGATCCTGTGATACGCTATGTGCAGCTTCGAGGTTTTTACTCAAAAAAAAAAACTTGCAACAAACAAAATCGGTAACATCAATTCAACAAACATAACATGTCGATTTTGAAGTCATGCTTCTTCTGTTTCTAGGAGAAGAAGTTCACTAACGAAGTGCTAGCAATTGTGACAATACAAACAATAAAAAGCTGTTCTTTATTAGAAAAGCGTCTTGAGTGGCCTTTTTCTAGGAAAAGCTAACCCCGCAGAACGTCTTCACACTAGAATGAAATATTCTGGACCTTTGAGCGGCCCCTTTCTTAAAAGTATCCCCTAGACTGTTAGGTGTGAAATGGGTCGAGTAAACGCAGTACTTCAAAACGTACTTTATCTACTTCACATCACACTCGCTAAGCCTAAACGCGTTAGGGGAGGTCTAATAATAGGCACCTTAAAACTGAATGCATTTTGTGCGCGCAAAATGTGACACGATCAGGCAGCACTACGTTAAACATATACCCATCAGATTTTTACGTTAGATCCAATTACCACCCAACGCTTTGATACTGTTGCGCATTAATGGATGTAAACTCGCTTACAAGAGCACTTCTTCTTTAAAATTTTTATTGAACAAAGCGAAGTACGGTGAACACAAATGAAGCCTCAAAAAAAGACAGTGACAACTTGTGGCCTAAAACCTTCAGTATGCTTATCTATGACGATAAGAACCGATATGACGTACGTATATAATCGTCTGATCAAACGCTTTGCAATGCGCTTCAATTCGCAGTCCGATCCATAATAGAGTCCTCATGTTTCGAATACCAGTTATTTACTATATTATTAGATGGTTGTGCGACTCTAGAAGACATACAATAAATCGATTTAACAACAATAATCTTTTACTTCTTTGTACAGAAAATAGAGTATTTTATGTTTTAGCAATCTATGAGCAATAATGTTCGCTAAGGAAAAATGCCTTTGAGATCAGAGATATCACTAAGGCGATATCGTAGAGCCAACACAACGAAATCTAAAAGCCCCCTTTTAGTTAAACATAAGGAGGCATACACTTGTTTTCGCTTAGTAAAAGATCACAGACAAATTGTAATATCATTTCATTTGTACTGTCTAACGCCTCATATCGCCGAACGACTGAGGGGGCAACGTGCGATTTAATATCCGTTTCGTGGCTTCAGAAAGTAACTGTTTAGAAGTCTTCACTACGCGCGGCGATTAGTTATGGCTTATCGTGCACTAACCAGAATAAAACGTTACTTTCTATGTCAAAGTATCTGTTATATAAGCAGTGTAAGGTGACACAATGTAGATATTAGGCCAAGCATCTGCCATTTCACTTTAAATGTCTTCGGTCTCATATTTGGCTCGGAAGTTAAGCTTAGACATGGCATCAGGACGATCAAAAGTTGAATCAGCAAGGAGCTTCGAATGAGCTAAGCACTACTTTACTTTGGCGGATTGAGCCTTCTACCAATGCTGTTCTATATCACTGTGGGTCCTAAACCGAGCAACTGCCTACATCTAAAATCGGATTTCCCTTTCAAAAAAGCGGTCATATTTTTTTTACGAAAGTGATATTCGTCGAAATATCTGTAGAAAATAGCGATTCTGTGTTCTACTCCAAGTTAATCCAACGTGTTATACAATGATCTTATTTCATGCCATGGTACTGGGAAAAAAATAACAAAATCTAACTAGATAAAATAATTTTTGGGGATTTCAATTGACTTAGCAAGGATCCGTATTCGCAGTGTTGTGAACAATGCCTTTGCATGAATGCGTATGCTACAACGAACGATCCAACACTGTCGTATTGTTACTTTTTTTTTTTTTTTTTTTACTTAAATCAAGGAAGTGCTGTACTCTGTATAGGTTATATCTCAAACAACAAATAATTCAATAGATGAAACGCGGATTGCTATCTAGCTTCAGATACTTTAGCTATCTATCTTCATTAATCTGATTGTTTTGTCATGATCCGTCTCTCTGACCGCTACATATTGTAACAACCACAAAACAGATTAGAAATATTCCATCTATTTATTAAGGTACACGATGAGTTTAAGTACGCATTGCTTGTTATAGTATATACAATGCCATGGCATTTTCTAGCGGGGTGTCAAACCAAGTCGATTGTTTAGCTTAGCAAACATCAGTCCAGGAATTGTTAGTAAGACATTTCTAGAGAATTTTCACTCTTTCTATAGAGATTGTTATGGATCAGTTAATAATAATTATAGCGTATTGCTTAACTATCTACATTGAGTATGAAACGCATTAAGGATGATTTTTGCGGTGGAGGTTGTTCCGCTTTTACCTCGGTCTGTTGTTCACTAGCTGAGTTCATCTGGTTCCCTTGAAACGGTCGTGGGCGTCGGTCAGCCTCGCGGGCATTTTTTCGTTGTTCTGTCTCTATTTCACTTCGCCTATTCACCTCAACGGTACCACCAGCGCCCGAAACGTCATGCATATCCGGGACGGCTATCGCATCACCAGGCATCTGTGGCACGAACGACGTGCCGAAAAGTTCGCCGCCGCCGACGCCTCCGTAGCCGACGCGCTTGAAAGCCATCTCGCCGAAGCTGCCGGCGTCTCCCATCATCACCATCGTTGGATAATCCATCTTGCCACTCATCGGATCATCGAACTGGCTGTAAGATGAAAAGCCGGACATTATCGGCGGCGAAACAACTGGCACCGGTATCGGAACCGCCTGCGGGATAGGTGGCGCGAGTGAGATGGCGTCGCCTACGACCGGAGTAAGGAACTGGAACACACGCTGCCGCAGCGGAACGGCCGCTTGAGGCCGCTCTATGCGAATCCCCAGTTGAATGACGCCCTTGTCCTGACAATTGAGTCACATAAACAGAGAGAAAGGGTCAAGACAGCCGATACAGACAGTAGCGCTAAGAGCCATATCGGTCTGTTAAAGTGCAGAGGCGCCATCTATTCAAGAGTGGAGAACAAGAGGGGGGGGGGGGGGGGGGGAGTGGTACTTTCAAACTGTGTGAGATTCGAGAGCATTTAGGGAGCGAACGTTACAGTATGTCGATTAGATTTGTCTCAGAGAAACTGGGTATACAAAGGCCGTAAAGGAGCCCTTCGTCGCGGCAGCCCGAATGGTTCCAATTCATTATACATCGTAATAATTACTATAATTTCATTGATAGATAGCATTCAGTATTTCACTGCATCAATTTAAATCCATTGTATACGTCTAAGTATTTTGTATTTGCGGTAGCATAATGTAATTTTTCTATCTTTCAAGTTGATTTCTATGATTTCTCTTAGAATGGTGCTTATAAAACGATCATTCATTAAATATAAGTTAACGTAATGTGTTGTGCATGCATTCAGTGTTCACTGCAGATATGGTGAGGCTTTTTTCAAAATACCTTTTTGGCCAGATCACGAAAGCCTTACGTGGTGCTACCTACATATTGCATGAAGTTCACACACGTTCTTATATAAATCTGGTTTTCAAAATACTGTCAAAGTATGCCTCCTGTGCCATGAACAGCACTGCACAGCTGCTGGACGAGAGCCATTTCTTTATTATATACAGTCCATATTGGTAAAGTTTGTAATTATATATCTAACAAGTTGTATCTTGATACAGTGCTCTCTTTTTCATGATAGTTGGCGTAGCTGAAACTGTTATATTGGTTTATTACCACCCAATGTAAAATCACACATTCTGAGGAGCAACCCAGAAAAGCCTGTAACAGTCCACCGTGATAGTCAGAAAACCATTTTTACCTAGACGCACTATCTCATCTTTTGCTTAAGTATTACAGAAAATTTTTTTTTTAACTGTAACAAATATACATGTCTAATATAACATTGTGGATTGGCTTTTAGTTTTCGTCTTAATTTAAAGCCTTATAAATAAATAAGAAGAAAAGGTCCGCTGAAATACGCATTTCTGAATCAGAACATCTAAGAACAATGGAATCAAAGAGTATCAGGCCTTCCTGCGAAGAACTCCGATTTGAGATACGGCACAATTTCGAAAACAAGTAATTTTTTGTAGTATTGTTTATTCGAAATTATAATTAATTAGCTGACCCATCACTCTATAACAGCGTGGCCGAAGTCCTTTCGTGACCCGACGGTGGTGTTGATCCACGAAGGACGGAAGAATCATTTTTTACGTCCAAGTATTCAATTTCATACTTATTTAGACAAGTCGAATTGAAGAGAACGGAAGAGCCTGATCATTTAACAAATTCATAATCCTTTCGAAAAGACAGTGGCATTATAAAAGGCACAGACTCCAACCTTGCGAACAATCAGCGATTGCTTGTCCTATCCATATTATCTACTGAGCCCAGAACCCTTAATCATCGAGAAAATCGCGTTGTCCCAGTTTCCATGGGAGCAGGTCAAAATAAAATACAATAACCGAAATAACATGAAAAACCTATATTCTTACGTGTATCGTTTGCGTGGTGACGATGGACTCATTAATAGATGACGTGACTTTCGGAGTATTACTGTTTTTATTGTGAGTGTTCTAAAAGACCCACTAAAGTTGCTCTCTGGATATAGGCTTTGTTAGTTCGTATGGCACAGGTAACTTTGCAGTAACATCGATTTTGTTCAGCACTAACCTTTGATGGGAGCGATACTGGAACTGGGTAGGGCTTTGGGACTGGATAAGGCATGGGTTTGGGGACCGCTACCGGTTGCGGCACGGCCACCGGCTGTGGAACGGGCTTTGGCATCGGTATATAAATGGGCTGGGGAATGGGTTTCGGTACGGGAATGTAATGAGGCACGGGCATATGACCTTCATGCACAGTCGGATAGGGACTCGGAACGGATACTTGTTTGTAGACCGGATAATAAACCGGCTGCACACGCACGACAGGAAATGGCACGGTAACAATCTTGTGGGACACCTGACAATCGAGGCAAATCCAAACCCAGAAAGTTAGTAACCGCTACTTTTTTGAGAGGATCAGATCGACGTACCAAGTCCCCTCAGTCCAGGTTCTATACAACTCAACATTGGATCTAAAGTAAGAGCCACTTATATCGTCAGAGAAAAGAGACCATTTCTAAACGGACTCCATTTCGTATTAGCGTATTACGTGGCTTTTTGAATCCTCGTTAGAGCAACTTTCACATATTCGGTCAAAGCAAATTGTATATTGACTTCTCAGAAAGAAACGGATCATCAAAATACGTGGATAAAGCTTTACAATAATTTATAGTCATGAATCAGTATAGCAAACACATTTAACCGTTATCTATATAATCGACACCGCAATGATCGCAGGCCGTTCGACTAGAGCGTGAATAAATGCGATCAACTAGGCTCTTTCCGAATGTCGCTAAAAAATTCAGAAGGATTCATGAACCGGTCAAAAATTACCGGTTCATTCATCACGGGACTATGAACGAAAGCCAATGGAAAGTTCAGTAATACTTTCGAATTATCGATTATAACGGTTTTTAAAAGTTAGTTGCTACACGATTTTTACGGGAACGGAAGACTTGTCGTTATTTTGTACGCTTATGACCAATAGCGACATATAAACATTCTATATGCATCGATATTCTAAAAAACAAGCATAATCGAAAAAGCTTCTATTCATTGCCGGGTAATTTGTCTTCATTAAACCAGAATAAGCTTCACATATGGCTAATGACATAGTATTGTGTGTGTCATAACTTTTTTCTGCAGTCGTCAGTGTCAATTAGCAAATATGGCTCACCGTCAAGTTAGGGCTGAGTTGTTACGATCCGACATGCATGATCGACAACAAATAAACGTCTTGTTAAGTTCCTAGTCAGATAGTGTCCAGTAGGTTTATCACTTTGTGAGTTTACAAGCATTACACTACAGGGCAGAGAAACGACTCATCTCTTACGTTTACAGGATTTAAGATCTGTGTGGCTGGATGAGAGGGCTGCTGTACAGAGTTATAAGTTTGGTAGCTAATGAAATACATCCGGAGGTACTGCATTGCATCATTCAGCCGGCGTTATAAAAAGGCCTTTGTAGTTAAGGCCTATGTGTAAGAGTAGAGAAATATCATGTGTAAAATAAGCGAAAAATTACGTCGGTGTTAGTTTCGTTATTCTTGAGTACTAAATAAAGAACGAAGCGGAAGTCAGGAGCAGTCACCGTTTTCAGCCAACGATACAGTTATACTTACGCTGACAAGAGATCTCACACGAGCACTCATTATCATATGTACAATTTATTCTGTTATAAAGTAAATCCAATACTGTAGGCATTTTAATTGCCGAGCCTTTTTCTTGTAAGCCTGGTCTCAGACCACTAATTAGATAAATGAGTTTCATTAAATTTTCAAAAGGTTTCAGAAATGTTCGAGGCTGCTGTTCCATAAAAAGGTTTTCGTCTGTTTATAATATAAGCGAAATCCACCATAAATCTATCTGCTATAGCATATTTATAATAATTTGTGAACACCGGATCGATCTCTTCTTTAAGGTTTAAATTGGCCGTTGGCGGACAGCTTAACAATACTCGTCGTACGATTGCTCAAGCCAATTCATGCTAACACTGATAACTGATCGGCCTCGACTAATCTATTGACGTTAAGATATCCCGACCCACGTCATATAAACATACACTAGTTGAGTTCCTCTTTGGCCTACCTCAAATAGAGGTGCCAGAATTAGAACGAAAATACCCTTATAGTTAGATGGTTTGATACCAGCGATGACGATACAAAACAGCCAAGAGAACACTCACCTTAGTTGGGGAATGAAAATGTAGGTCGTAATGTTTTGAAGGTGGAAAAGACAAAAACGCGTCGCTATAGTAACTGCCCGTCTGTGGTTTGCCAAAGGAGGAAATATTCGCACTTTGATTAATTGCCTTCAGATGTTTACTCGATAAAATTGTAGACCAGTGTGGCCATATCTGGGACGGACTTGTATCAGACTCTGTTGCAGGTGGGCTATCAATTGGAGGTGATGGGACTTGAGCTGCATTCGTTGTACCGCTGTCAATACTAGTCTGCCCGACAAAGATGCTCGGACGGCCACGATGAGCAGCAACTAAAAGGAATTAACGATTACTTAATGTTTTGAAAGGAACTGCAAGAATTACCCCCTATAAGTTATTATAGGTATATTCTAAGCATTTTCGGAAGCAATACGTAGGAAAGTATCACCTAGGCTAGATAAACAAGAAAGTAGAATATATGAATAACAGGTATCCTGAAATAGGACAATCCTCCTGAGAAATGGAATACCTTCAAAATAAAATTGCAGATAAAACCGCTATTAACATAATTGAAAGTATGTTGCATCGATTTGCTGCTCACATGGTATCGCGATCTAAAGACGTTCTAGTTAGTTGGTAGATTCCCCTGTAGGAACCTCTGAACTATGTACCTATCGGAAATGACTGATCACGAATGAATTCATCTGATTATATACCATTGCAAATCGGTGAATGAACAAACAGTAATGATACTTACGGGGTTGGCCTGATTTGTCAGAATAAGCTTCGTCCGCTGTATTGTCGTTCTTTTCTACTGATTTTTTCGGTTCGCTGTTAGTAGTGTTATTGCTCACTATTACAGGACCTACACCAGTGTACGTAATTGGCAGCTCAGTAGTATCCGCGATCCAGAGGTTTCCCAATGGAAACGTGTTGTTTTCTGCCTCTTTGCGAAGACGTTGAAGTTCTAGCTCAAATGCCGTTTGATTTGAGAAAGGCATCATATCTAACGCTTTTGATATGCTCTTGCGAACATCCTGTGGAGTAACGTCTTTTATCGTAGTACCCAGCTGGGTCTGTATGGTAAAAGGCATAGCGTCGATAAGGTCGGATATTGGCCTTCTCAGATATTTCTTATAATAGGCCCAGTATTTTGTGAAATTACCAAGCGGAGTCAGAGGCTGCACAGCTACAGGTATTGCCGAAGAATGGTACGCCATTGCATTTCGAGCGCACAATGAGATAGCGAACGCCAACAGGTATAGTGACCGCTTCATCTTTTAATCAGAACATACGGCCTGGGCGCCTTTTAAGTCCTTCCAAGTGACCTCAATTAGCTCCGCTGAGCACACATAACGAGCACAAAATAAAAGCTCCGTTCAGCGAGCAATTTCTTCGCTGTATGTAGGTTATAAGAATAGAATGCAACACTGCATTTGTCTCGGTATTGTTATTAACAGTAGAAACTGAGACTGCCGTAACATGTACTAGGCAAATTCATGCTTAGCAATTATATTGCAAGCTGATATTAACGTTTGTTTCGATAATTATTTATTTGCCAGTTATTTGAGTCTTTGAGTATTTCTAATGCGTTGACGCAGAGAGCTGCAACATTCCGAAGAGCTTGTTGCGTATATTCACTGATCTGATCTGATACTGATCTGAGTTAACGCTGTTCGTTAATCTTAGCCAAACTGAGTTGGATACCTTGCCCTTTCTCATCTTTCATCTAAAAAATCCAGTCTCAAATTTTCCTGTTTAGGCGAAGCCGGTGCTCCCTAAGGCAGTCACTACTCTTCCTGAGGTTTAGCTTACCTATGGAAAAACGGTACTGAAAAAACAGGACTAGAGATGAGTTTCATTTTATTTTCTGGAAGGCATAGATCAAATTTGGAATCTAACCCGTTAGTAAGACAAAATAATTCGGCTGTGTATGATAGGTTGCTATCAACTAAGCGATTTTTCTGTATTCTCGGTATGTAGATGCAGCAGCAAAATGGTTAAACTTTAACATTAACTGCTACGAAAAGTATGAGACATAAAGGTAAGAGTTACTAATCGGTCTCTAAAGATATTACTTTTGTTGTTTTTTTTGCTTTTTACTGTTTTACTGTAGTCAGAATCACGTTATGTGTAATTTAATGTGTTACCATCAAGTATTACTACGAACAGCTAGTTCCCGTCACAGAAAAAAATGTGTCTGCCTAGGTCTGGATTTCACTCCACAGCGTTTTACGCGTTTTAAGTTTAAGAAGCCTGCACGTTTTAACTGTATCCTAGTTGAATGTATTCGCTTATGTCCGATTAACTTAAGAAACCGATCGGATGCAACCAGGATGACCATTCAGAAATTTAAGTCAGAACAATAATTTTCGATCTATATTTTATCTACGAATTAAATGCTATAATTATATTTTCGATGAAAAATGTTTTATAGAGAAGGGAAAGAAAGAGAGAGAGAATTTTGTCTGATGCATAGCAATTATTAACGCAATAATACTTCATGCTTTCAGTAAATGCGGTCTGTATGAGTATACAAGGATGTAATTTTCGAAGCTGGTTGCGGAAACAGATCACTCGCAGGAGATCTCCACACGCAAACGCCGAAAACCACTGAGGCAGGTATTGCGGGGTTCGGGTTTTCATCGCCTGTTCGTCGTAGAACATCACTGCAGCTCCTAGTTTACGCCGCGGCTGTGCCTATTCTTTTTGTCACCTGTCTGTCGAATTACTACGAGATTCTGCATATAAGAAGGCCTCGAACCCAGGCTAACCTGGAGAAGATCCGTGTAAGGTAAACCCTATGAACACCCAGCAAAAACTTAGGTGCTGAACAGCTTTCTGGGTCCGCCTCAGAATCCTGTTACAGGCGGCTTGGCCGAGTTATGATCGCCATATCTACTCAAGTGATTCCGTTTCGGGCCCAATAACAGGTTTACTCAGCAAGCGTTCAGGTTCAACAAACGAGCACGTCCTTTGATATTGCTAGTAGAATTTTAAGTTACAGACCAGCGGAAAGCCGAAAACTCGGTTTGGAGCAGTGGTAACCCAAATCTAAGGAGAGCGCTAGCTGATCGTCCCAGAAATTCATCGTCGTTAGGCTAATGCAGAAGCTCGATGTTGTTCCTTTGAGATGACATTCTTGGCGATAGTGTGAGCTGTTTATACATTTTTATCGTATTTATATGGTCGTCATGTGGAGGCCGTCGTCGAGACAATCAGTTGGTGTGACGACAAAGATGTGCCCAAGGTCGATTTTGTGCGCCCTAACTTTACCGCAATATGACCTTTAGACTGTTCCTAGAAAGGCTACTTACAAATACGGCGACCTTGGATTACTCTTAATAATGGTATATTTTGAAAACTACATAGACCGGACTAGTATACATTTAAGGACCTACAAAATGTATAAACACATAGAGTTATCTGATGCCGAATAAATCGTAATGGGTGACAGAACCGGTCGCAGCTTGTTTATGGGCAGCAAATAACATATGTATATTTGCACGAGGTTTGTATATTATATAATTAGAATGCAATAAGAGTATATGCCATAGAATATCATCAATTATTTCAAGCGAAGAGCAAATCTTTAGACGAATACATTTATTATCTATAGCAGTTTGCGCGTATATATTCTCTCAATGGTACTCAGGAAACCTTTCTAGATAAGAGTCAATTTTGCTCCTTTACTCTTTACGTCGCCGTTATTCCTGGAAACTCTGTTAGAGGGTTGACCTACTTTCCATGGAAGCTCATTACAGTACCGTTTAGTTCTTCTGAAACGTTGTCTCCGTTCCCTTCACAGAAACAGAATCGTTGAGGTGTGGATTTGTAAGATGAACATAGCATACATAGTTGATAATATTTTTCAAACCAATAAGGTTGTATCACTTGACCTTAATCAATTAGTTTTGTGTTTCTAATCTTTGTTTTTGCACATAGTAGTGTATCGATACAATGTGCTATGTATTTCTAGGTCCGTCGATCTGCTCTGAGCGGCACCCTGTAACTACACGGCGCTACTCGGTGCGTGACCTCTCAAGATGCACAATCTTTCTTCGACTGCCAAGTGAGTTCTCCGACTGTTCTGCGCTCTCTTTCACGACTGTAGCGCCCTCTTTGGTCGAACCGACAGCGCCCCCTGGATTCAGACAGCGCTCTGCGCGCCGGCGTGCGGCCCTGGCCTGATCAGGGCGAAGTCAATGCGTTCCAGCCAAAACAGTGTCTCGCTCTGTTCTCCCAGCCCTTCATTTTATAGTAATAATAACAATAATAATCATTAAACTAACAGTGGTAATAGTGGCAATAGTGGAGCAGTCGTTCATACCATATATATAAGCTTACGTGTGGGACCCGCCCCGGTTGGCAGTCGTTCTCCACGAGAAAGGGAAAAACTGAGCCAGAGCAGCCAGGGTGGACTTTAGCGCGATTGCAAACGGCCCAGCAGCACGTAACTGCGGTTCCGTTGTTGTTTCAGTGAGTCGACTTCGACCCGTTCAGAGAAGGGCAAACCAACAGGCTTGACTAATATATTATTTGCAGATTATAACTCTCGCGGCGGCTAGGCACCGGCCCGCCATCAGAGTGACAAAAGAGGGACACCTGATCGCCCAACTACCCATCAGAGAAGGATCAGACAGCGAGAAGAGAGGGAGCGCAGGGAGCAGCAGCAGTAAAAGCAGTTTGGAGTGCGGGTGGAGTGAAAGCTCCTGTCTAAAACCAGTCAGTAGGACCGCCGGACAGCGGTGCCAAACTAGCAGCGTCTGCCTATGTTGGTGTACGTTTACCTGTGTGTAACTAGTCCGATTGAGTAGACTAGATTGACAGGCGCACGGTGTTTGATTATCGCCGATAGAAGTAACAGTACGCTCAGCTACCCTAATACTGTTATTGCTATTGCCGTCACTGTCGTTACCGTCATAATCATAGAGAACTGAGAAGCACATCAAGCCAGACCGGTATCAGTTGATACCATCACTAATTGAGTGTCAGCGGCAGTTGCATGCGAAGAGCAATGCTGGTGATAGGAAGACACCGAGAAAGAGGAAGACTGCTGCCGGTACAACAACAGTCTGTTCTCGGAGCATTACGCCATCTCCTCGCCTTCAAGCAGCATCGCCACTAGCAAGACTCGCTTATACACTGTTTGTTTGCTCTGTTTCATCGCTGGTGAGTTCCTGAGTGCGCGAACCCGAGGCCGCCATTCGCCCAGATGCAGAACGCTGAGAACGGAACAGCGAGAGAGGCACGACGACACGAAGAGAACGTGGTGCACGAGGATGCGAGAGAGATCTAAATAGAACATTGATGACATCGAGGACAAGGTCGGTGACGATCGCGGAGGCGCCAAACGAGACGCTGGCTACAATGATAAACGGCTAGTCATCTCTGCTGATCTGCTTCGTCTCGTCCAGCCCCCAGAGTGCTCCGACATTCATTGCCCTCCCCTTCTTCCCTCCCGAGGGGGCTAGTGGCCCGCACGAGACACCGAGTCTCATTTCCAATAGAACAGACAGAGAAGCAGAAGGAATAGTATTGGTTACGAGCAACACAACCAATGCAAACAACCTGTGCCATAGCTCCAGCCGGATAAACAGAGTGATACGCTTGACCTGCCGCCACTCACTCCTTTAGCAGAAGAAGTTGCAACAATTTGTGTCTGTATGTGTCTTCGTGCAGTTAAATGGAGATACGCATAGACAAATTAACGGACAGACAAACAATCCAACAGGGAGACACACAAACAAACACTGGAGTTGTATATGGTCAAATAGAAACAGAAACACTATTTTACTTAGCACCACCCTCGTGGTCGAGTTTTCCTGACAAGCATACGCGCAGCTTATGTCGATCCGTTAGGCATGTGGAACAGGTCCCTTAGATTACGCAAGTTATTGCCGCAGGTGGTAAAATAGCCAAGCTATACACGAAACGAAACAACGACGACTTCGCTGTATACTAGGGCACGCAGAAACAAGTCGACTGTTTAGCTACGAATCCGTG